CGCTTCAAGGCATCAAAGTCCCATCCACGCGCCGACATACCTCGCAAAGCATGCATGAAATAGTAGAAAGAATCAAAGAGCTATTGAGGGCGGTATCTCATAATGAACCACACAAACACATGAGGGCAAGAGAGAGGTATGTAAAGTATACGAAATAAAAATCACAGAATACAAAAATTTGACAAAAAATGTACCTTCTCTAGAGGGTCACTCGAAGACAATGAAAGAGGGGAAGCTTTCCTCGTAAAGGAAAAGACATTCACACCTCTTCTAGCAGTTGTATTGTCATTATCCGTCGATGGTAGGACACTTCAGTGACATTCTAACCATTAGCGGATGAGGGCAGGAGGTGCTTCTGTGGCGGTCTTATGTGCGAAGGAGGCAACTGTAGGAACTTCACTGTCGAAGGTTTTGCCAAAAAAGGAGGCTTTATCGGTGGGAAAGGAGGTTGAAGGAAGGTTGCAGTCACAAGCACTACATGAGGTGCGAGGGTTAGGGCTTCATGTGGAAGAGAGCTAAGACCACCGGGAATTGGATGTCAACGTCGAGGAACTCCGGCTAGACGTCATCTACGCGGTTAAGGGCAACACGACCGAGGCGAGAAATGGTTGAAGCCCTTGGACAAGAGGCTTCGAGTAGGGGCTCCACCAATGTAGAGGAGAGTGTCGACACCTAGGTTTAGAAGTGAGGGTCAGTAGTTGTGTTTTGAGTGCTAGAAAGGGAGCTCTGGCGACAAACGTGACGCAGGTAGGTTTCGCGAGAAATAGCAATGCTAGAGGAGGAAGGGGCATGCGATGCTTAAATAGTTAGTATTTTTTTTATTTTTAATAATAATAATAATATTATTATTATTATTATTATTATCATTTGCGCATTTTTTGCCTAAACATGGCGTCGTGGTGAAATGAACATCCCCCTAGCTAAAATCAACATTCTAGACACAATTGCGAAGTCCATCTCTTCATCGAAAAATTCGTTCGAAGAACTTTTTCGATGATCAGGCTAAAAAAAATAATTTACGCATTTTAAGCCCGCATGCGAAAACGTGGCGAAATGGACATCCTCCCTAGTTAAAATCAATGTTCTGAATGCACTCAAGTGGTTTGTTTCTTTGTCTCGGGTCATCCAAACATGCTCGCAGGTGGACGAGCCAATTTGAGCTAGTTTTATGCATGGTGCGACGAGTACGATCTATCGACCTGATTGAAACTTTGTAATGTGCAAAATGTCAACTTGTCTTCATTTAAGTGAAAGCTAAAGTCTAATAGAACGTCCCTGGCTGCATTCCCCTCAACACACGCCAGATGGTCTCAATCGGATGTCTCGAGCTATGGGAAACAACACATGCATGAAGAATGACCCCGATAAGCTCAGGTGGACATCTCACACATGTGACATCAAAAATTGATTCCAAAAACCTTCTCCCTTTGATCTCTTTCTTATTATTGGCTGACCCTTATCTCCTAGTTTCTTCTTCATAACGAGATAGATACTATCCGACTTTCTTTTCTCCCCTGCATTCTTGAGAGGGTAGAATTTTCTAGTTGAAATCCTAAAGGCCTTCATCATGGCCACCTCATTTAAAAAGTGATCAAGAAATATTGTGCACACCCTATTATAGGAATGGTAGGCACAAAAATCCAGAAAATTTAATTATTAGAATACTTATTACATAATAATTTAGTTAATTTTTGCCTTTAAGTCTTATATTCTTATCATAACTGTCATTTTTAAGAAGAGAATCGAGGAATTAAATATGTAAAGAAAAAATGTCCAAACGAATCTCAAGAAAATCAAACAGGTCTCGCTTATGAACAGCAAATGAAAGTGTATCGAGATAACCAAAAAAACTAATGCAGAATCATTTCCTTCAGTCAGAAATCTAAGCCAACCAAAGACAAGCACAACCAAATAATTAAAATAGAAGGAACCCAATCAAAGGGATAGTCGTTTATTAGTTCCTCCAGCCGATTCTGGAACTCATAAAATGGTTAAGGGCCCCTGATCCTCCTAAAAATTACCTATTTTTAGTGTACATTTCATGATCATTTTATGCATATTTCTGATGATATTGCATTTTAAAGGAATGTATTTTGCATGTTTTTGATTTCAGGTACATGGAATGAACATTTAGATAAAATGAGGACAAATGGAGCAAAAATGAAAGATTTTGTATGGCATGGCATCATAAAGCCAGGTATCAAGCGGGCTCCATACTAGCGCTATAGTGTCTGTAACCAACTTTCTAGAATATCCATTGAATTTGACCAAATTTTGAAGGTGTGCTTGAAGTGACCCTTGGTGATTTTTAGTTGTCTATTAATATGGCCAAATTCTAGACGAAAAGGGAGTCTTTTTTAGGGTGTGTTGCAGGAGACTCCTTGAAGGTTTTAGTGTGTGTGTGTGTGTGAGTGAGTGAGAGTCTTTGTCTTGCATAGAATTTTGAGATTATTTCAAGGAAACTTCAGGATTTTCTTGGGGAGAAGACATAAAGATAAATATCTTGTATTTGTGTTTAATTTTTTGTTGTATGACATGACTTTCAATATAAATCATGTGTTTTTATTTTATCTCAATGAATTTTGAGTTGTTCATTTCTTTCTCCTTGCATTTGGGAATTATTCTTGTGGGATGAGAATAATTGAAAGATTTCTTTTTATTTTAAAACATTGTGATGCTTTTTCACTGATTCTTTATTAACTTTACAAACTGGTCATTTGTATGGTTAAAATCTTTTCAAAAACATAATAACCTGGGAAGGCTATGCTTTCACCAACTTGTGAGTACCACATTTCAATTTGGGCAGAGTCGTTGATAGAGAGATAAGTTTTGATGGGCATAGAAATTGATGTTTCTAGGGTGACAGACTAGATTCTTTTATCAATTCAACCTAGAGTTTGGATTGTAAGGGTCCCTAGTAGGTCTTATAGAGAGGGCATAGTGGGCAATCTGGAAGTGAGAGGTTAGAATCTACTCAACACTACTACACAAGCTGGTGAAAAACTCTCGGTTAACCAATGTTTTTTGCTAACACCGATAGGGGATAAATAATATGAATTCTTCTATTTGGCATAATACATCATGTTATCCTTTCATCATTTAAATCCTGCACTAATTAACATCTCTTTGTAAGGGGAAAGATCTTTTCATAACATTTCAAACTCTCTTTTAAATTTTATTAGTCAGTTACACTTTATTAGCCTTTTAATTTTTTGCTAGTTTTTTTTTTACTTTGTTCTTATTTTCTACTTAAATTTAGTGTTAAACTGCGGCCAACATTTCGATATTGTTTCCCTATCATTATTATCTGCAATTTAGATAGAAGTTTTGCAAGTCAAAATTAAGAACTATCTATTTTCTAAATCATTTTATTCACACTAGCCACTAAATATAATTTGGGCCAAGTTTTTGGCAAATTTAATAAAGATAAATATTAACGTAATTGCGGGCCAGGTCAGCCCCCACTAAATCTTGTTAAAGGAGAGGTGTCTGTTAGATTATGATGGTACACTCTTTGTTTGAAATCCCAAGTTCATCCTAACCACACGAGAGACTCTACTATGGATTCCTTGAAGAGTGCCAATTGATAACCTCTTGACCGATCAAATAACAGTCGACCAATCAAAGGCTTTCAACCTACTGAATGACAAGAATATCATGTCATCAGATGCCCTTCTTTAAGCAGTTAAGAATACAAAACAATGTTGATACATGTTTTAAATATGAAAGGGCGCCAGAGCGGTTACAAATATGAAAATCTGTCATAACAACTTATAAAGTGCCTATTAAAACAACGAAAAACAAGTGATTTTACACCGAGTATTCCAGAAATCTAAAAATTGTCAGTCTTTCAGATAAGAAAAGACTACTGAATTTACTCTATCAAAACTTGCACTATTATGCGCGCGCACACACACACACATTCTCTGTTTCTCTCGACCACCCTACGCTCTATATCTTGGACCGATTTATCCTTATATATAAAAAATAATCTATATTTTTATAAAATAAATTTTTTTTAGCTGCGTCGAGGACCGTACTCAACTTTCATTAAAAGATGAGAATTACTAGCTGATAAAAGTAAGAACCAGATGAAACCAAAATTTGGAGCTGAGAAGTATTTTGATCAGAAGCGGTATTTAATATGTTGGTGTAATAAACTTATGAAACCAGCAATTGGACATAATTGTTGTACAAAAATAGAGATTATGTAAAAAAGAAATAAGCCCCGGCTGCAGAGATCAAGCAACAATAACATCAAAAAATGAAGTAGAAAAATTAAGAAAATATCTTAGAGTGATGTGGTGGTACGCACTTACTGCCACATGTACCACCTGAAATATTTAAGTATGAAAGACGCGCGCAGAATTGAGTGTGTAAAGTAGGTTATTTAAAGGGTACTAGGGGTTATATACGTGTTATTGGGGGTATAACCTCACTATAACCTCATAATAATTTCAAAGTAAGCTACAAATATATAAAGTAACCTACAAATATATGAAAACAGAACTACATAACTTATTGGTAGATTTTGGAGGGTTATAGTGAGGTTATACCCCCAATAACAAGGATATAACCGTAATACTCTTTGAATAATCTTCTTCCGCACCCAGTTCTGCTTGCGTCTTCTGTACCTAAATATTTCTCCCCGAAGGAAGGTGATACCCATAATTTACTCAACTGGTGTGATCCTCCATGTTCAACTGCCACACTAACAAATCCTCATTTCAAATAATCTCCCATAATTATATTCAAAATTCAAATCTAGTATCTTAATTATAATATTATATTATATTTATTAAAATAAAAAGTAACATAATTAAACTGAAAACACATTTAAAATTATTCTAATTAAACACACACACACAAATCATTCAAATTCATACGTAAATTCTATTTAAAATTTTATATAACTAAAAATCAAGATAATTTTATAAAACCAGCATGGAAAAAAAAAACCTAAAAAATTAATTCAAATCTAATATTTTACCTCTCATGCTGCTGCACGCATTCATTACTTGTAGGCGGGCATGGCGTCTCTCACAATGAAACCTCTTTAAAACCTTCCCCAACTCCCTCAATCTTCCTTATCCATGGAAGTCACGGGAACACCCCTATCCTTCTACCATTGCTAACCGAAACCCTGTAACTGATTTCATCTACTGGGCAACCTAGGGCTTGAAGTAATTCACGAGCAAAATTGATCAGATATCTGCACTCAAGTTCCGGCATTTCCTGGATTTCTGTCTTGTAACAGGGAAGCAAAATCTAGCACTGAAACTATTCTCTAGCTTTTCAAGGAAATTCCAACTCTCTACAATAAGCTTATTCTGGCACACTTCCCATGAAGGAGACAACTATGGAAACCCTGATTCCATTAATATCCGGCTTCCCAAGCTTCTTCGCTCTGTTCTCCATCATATATCTAATTGGTTACTCTCTAGTTTTCCGAACATGGCATCCAAAGCCCCGTCTCGACGCGTCGAGCTGCTTGATCTCCCTGGCTCACGGAACCCCCGCGGTGTTCTTAGCAATCTCGTCACTTCTCGCCAATCCATCGTCCTTCGCGTCTCCGAACTCCGATTTCCAAAATCTCGTTCTCGACTTCAGCATTGCTTACTTTGCCGTCGATCTCCTCCACCTATTCATTTTTTTCCCCGCCGATTTTCTCTTCATCGCCCATCATCTTGCCACCCTTTTCGTGTTTGTCACTTGCAGATATCTCGTTCGTCATGGCGCTTTCTCAATTTTGGTCCTTTTGGTTCTTGCGGAGTTAACCAGTGCTTTCCAGAACATCTGGACGCTTGCTGGGCTTCGAAGAGAAGAGTTTCCCATGGCCGAAAATGTTCATAGAATCTTGTCACCACCATTCTTTGCTTTGTATTCGATCATGAGGGGATTGTTGGGTCCGCTGTTCTTCTTAAAAATGAGCATGTTTTATTTGAGTGGTGCCGCGGATGACGTAATTTCCAGGTGGATTTTGGTTTCTTGGATTGTAGTGGTTGGTGGAGCTATATTGGTCAGCATTATATGGATCACAAATCACTGGATGAAGCTTTTTAGGGAGAGGAAGACAGTTAGTGATAAGAAAGGGTATTAGTTCTAATGTAACAAACAAATGAGGATTGCTTGATAATTGAAATAGATTGGTGCTTCAGGTGTCGGGCTGAAATTAACAGCATAATGAGTTTTTGCTCCCTGAGGTAATAGAATATGTATCCTGATTTATGCCTAATGCATATATCGTTATTTAACTTTGTTAATATAATGTTATGTTACATGCAATTCCTTTTTTCTTTTTTGTTCAGAATGTGATAGTTTGCTAATGTTTTTCATGTTGGGTATGTAGCATTCTTCTTAAAGATTATATTTCTGTATGGTAGTTCATTGAATTGTGTATTATCTATAGTTTATATATCCTAATAGGAATATACTGATCTTCGTCTCTTTGTTTTTGTTATTTTCATTTATTTTTTATCTGTGTGTGTGTGTGTGTGTGTGGTGGATCTATATTATTCTTTGATGATACCCAAACCCTGTAGATATTAGCAGAACCATAGATAAACATAAATAAAGGGTAACTGAAAGAGAGAGAAAGGGAAATTTTGAATGATTTTTGTTTCTTCTCATTAGGGAATTCAAAGAGTTGTGTTTTTGTCCTTTTCAAAATTCCCCTTTGATCCCATCTTTATAGGATTTATGAGCTCGGCAGGAAAGTCTTTGCTTTAATCTATTCAACATATATGTCTGATACAGAGAATTGGTTATATTGATAAGAATTTCAATATGTATATCTGGACTGTTGCTTTGACTAGTGCTTCAAACGTCTTGGCAATTGAAGAAATGAAGTAGTTGCTTTTTGAATATGGTTCTTTAGGAGCTCTGGGCGAGTGCCTTCTAGGTTGGGTGAATACCTTCTAAACTATTCTCAGTTGGCAAGTTTGAAATGAAGTAGTTGCTTTTTGAATATGGTTCTTTATGAGCTCTGGGCGAGTGCCTTCTAGGTTAGGTGAATACCTTCTAAACTATTCTGAGTTGGCAAGTTCCCTTCTGAGCTTGGTGAATGCCTTTTGAGCTTAGGCAACTGGCTTTGAGAGCTATGAACCCTAATCTTTAGTTGGTTCATATTGTCTCCTCTGCTTTACCCTAAAGCAAATATTTATGTATACATTTATTCTTCTGTTTCTTTTGTATTTTTGAAAAGTAACTTAAAAAGATCTAGAATTAAGTGAGACATTTATTATTATTACTATTTTCATGAATTCGTAAATGAGAATATAACAAATTTAAATATCATTTTTTATTCTTGTGCCAAGAGTAGCTACCTTTATTACTTTGATACTGACTCTGATATGACCTCCTTGTATATTAGTGGCTGCAATCATCTATAAATATGAATGGGGTCATTTCCTCTAAAGCCTATATTTTGGATTCTCCCTTCTTCACTTGTTACCTTTATTCACTTATAATGGCTAAGTGACCTCACCAAAGATTAAAATATCTCTAACCACGATTCATGCCAAAGCACAAGCAAGTTTTTTTGCATGGAATGAAAAGCAGAAGTGAAGCCAACATATGGAGAAGAATGTAAGGATGTTAGTGGAAAGTAGTGTGAGTAGGGCAATGATTAGTTCTAATCTTAATTCTGTTCGAAGATATCTTGCCACAATGTTCATCGATCATCCCATGCTGAGTGCTCTTTTGGCAAGTAAAGCTTCTTACTTGGTGGTTTTGACTTGGGTAATTCTATCTCATAAAAAAACAAAAAGGACATATTAAGATTAAAATTATAATTTAGGGACATTTCTTTTTGTTTTTTACTTATAAGTGGGACCAATGAGTATATTGGACCCTTTATTATAGGGAGCCGAACAAAAGCATACGAACCAATTCGCCGAATGAAAATTAGTTTTGAGTGGAGAACAGGTTGAACCAACCAACACTCCCAAATTCATTATAGTTAAGAAGTGCTTTAAGTGTCATGGTTTTGAAAACATTGCATCAGATTGCTCAAACAAGAGAATAATATCTTTCCCTGACCATGGTGTAGTTGACAAAATGAACAGTGACATAAGAGAGAATGAAAATGTCAAAGAAGAGTATCGGTTTGCTAGCGAGGGAGAGATAGTGATTCAAGCTGAGCCCATGAGAGACTCCAACATAATTAATATTGGTTGTTCTAGAAGGTAGTGACTCCAATGAGTCAATACCAAAATAATGACAACTACTGTTAAGAGAGTAACTGTATAGCCTGATTGACAATGCGTACCAACAAGAGAGCTTCAGTTTGTCATAAATCTTATTCTAGAATGTTTCTTATGCAAACCAACTTACCTATGGGATGTAACCATCCGAGTATGAAAAATTGCAATAATATTTTACACATTTGATGTTTAGAGGCTTGGTTCATGAGAGTATTAGCCTAGGTGTAGCTTCAACTCTAATTTTTTCAAAGAATGATGGATATATATTCTATCAGAACAAACTTTGGAATGGCGTAAGTATTTTAGAGTTGCATGAAATAGACTCGAGCATAGATTTTGCAGTGAGACTGCCTCAAACACAACAAAGCGATGACTTTGTTATGGTGGTTGTAGATTGATTCCAAAGAAGAAAAAGCCTCTCTTAGTTGGGGAGAATGATGCGGGAGCGTCTTCTAAAGTCACGGGATTAGAGAGCCTGTGACTTTCGATTGTAGGAATTATGAAATCCCATGGGAACGGGAGTTTCATGATCGTTGGGAAGACCGAATAAGCAATTTTCCTCAGGTTCGAAATTTTTTCAGGAATCCTTACTATTTTAACTTATTTTCTTATACTTTTTTTTCTAATTTGATTTTTTTATTTATCAAAAAAGTATTTATGATCTTTTGCCTTATTAGGTTTTAATCTCTGATTCTCGCAATTGCATGGACGAGAAAATATTTTGAGTTTTAAGGCAAAGGAGATTCAGTGGGCTTAGAACAATGTTGTATAGTCCTAAGGAGAAGAAAAACATTAAAGGTGTGTTTGGGTTGGCGGTGTGTATAGTCCTAAGGAGAAGAAAAACATTAAAGGTGCGTTTGGGTTGGCGGTGCTTAGCAAAACTGCGTTTTGCCTGCATTTTTGAAAAGCTACAGCTGAAAGCTGCGTTTTCCCACCACGGCTGGCTGCTAGAAACTGTCGTTTGATCTTTTAAAAAGATTTTTTTTTTGTAACAACCACCACAGCTTTTTGAATAGTAACTTCTTCAACAGTTTCACAGTTGTTTCTTCAACAGCTGCAGCTGCCCCAAACAAACTCTAAGTATTAGCGATATTCGTGAAGTCCTCGGCTTACATAAAGATTTCACTGACAAGTACAATGCTAGTATTGACTATTATCTTAAGAAGTTGGTGATTTGTCAAAAACTTTTTAAAAATATTAGAATGAGGCTTATATTTACCAACTATTGATAGATGAATTTTCCAAGGGCAAACCAATTGGAACGCATGTCACCAAAGCTTCATTTTTTTCCTTTTTTTTTTATGCTTGTAGTGAAGGAAAATAGAAATTATTATAAATTAAGAAACTTACAAATGTGAAATGAATTTATTTGTTAAAGAGTTGGTGTAGCTCCACTGGTAGACAAGATTAGAGAGTCACCTTAGATGGTTTGGGCCCATTAACCGTCAAACACATGATTATCCAGTTTGGAGAGCAGATGATTTATATTTGACCTATTTTAAGAAAGGTAGAGGCAAACCTAAAAATACTTGGGCATGTTATATAAATAATGAATTTAATCTATTAGAATTAATTGAAAATGTGACACTCAATAAGACACAATGGAGAAATTGAGTCATGTAGCAGACCTCACTTAGTGGGATAAAAGGCTTGTTGTTGTTGTTTGTTGGTATTGTCTCTTTTCTAGAATTGATATGCTACTAAACTGAGTGTTCCTCCTGGTTATTGAATTAAGTTGGCCTGTTGAGTTGAAATATAAAATTAATTTCGCTACATATTTATAATTAGCTGTGTGTAAATAATGCCAAAATATACCGAGCGGTGTTATTATTACGATGAACTGAACAAATATGTTTCCATATTAAGTGGCATATTGATAGTTTGATTTGACATCATTGAATATGTACTTGAGAATTTGTCCAAGTAGAAAATATATCTATGGGTTTGATTAATGTCCCATAATTGTTTAGATGTCTCAAGTTATTTGAGCAGAGCTAATGACTAAACCTCTTGAGCTTCAAAAGTTTGGATGCGGGTAATTGCAAATGATCAATATTCCTCTTAAGTTTTACTTTGACTTTCTTTTGTGTGCATCCATTTATGGATCATCACCATAGATGGGTCGTACCTTTCATAGGAAGTTAGTTTTTCATAGAAGTGATTTATCAGACTCTCTAAGTAGAATGGAATTTTATGCTATTCAATGCAAATCTTGTTTGCAAGGGAAAGTTGAATTCCAGAGCTAAATTTTTCAATGTTCATGAGAGAGTTTGGTGAGCAAATAGAGTAATTCTTGAAAGTGAGTTCATATTTAATTAAGTAAAATTTTATGAGATAATTTTTGTCATATAAATACATTGGGTGCCATTTTATCTTTGACAAAGTCATGTAAAGAGATAAAAAAGGTGACTTTGCTAAGCATATTTTATTATTCTATCTTGGATCTTTGCTCCTCTATAGACATTATTCTAGTTGCTTCTAGGCTTGACCCTGAGCTGAGATAACTCTAATCTCTAAACTCAAACTAATCCACCTAGTTTATATTTGAGTATTCTTTTTTTAGGTTCCAATTTTCCCAATGTTGTCATCGACACTCGCCAAAGTTTGAGGCTAATATACTTCAAATTTGGGCTGGTGTGCCAAGATCAAATTTTTACTTGGCATTTGCTTTGTTATTTTAATGATTTTATTTACTTAGCCAAGGAGGGTTGAGTTCCTTGAGCATGTTCGAGGGGAGGAGACGAGTTTTTCCAAGGTGACTAGTAATAAGGGGTGTCCAAAAAACATTTGGAGTGGTCTCGTTATCCTCTACATTATTCATTTGTTGACTGGCAAAAAATTCTATTTTAATTATTTTTTATGAGGAACTACTACAACAACAACAACAACAACAACAAAGCCTTAATCCCACTACGTGGGGTCGGCTACATGAATCATTTTTCTCCATTGCGTCCTATTTAGTGTCATATTTTCATTTAGTTCTAATAAATTAAGATCATTTTTAATACAATAAGCCCAAGTCTTCCTAGGACACTAAATCTAAAACATCTACTCTCCTAATCGGATCAT